AAAAAAAAAAAAAAAAAAAAAAAAAAAAAAAAAAAAAGGGTTTAAGACTCAAGATACAGGGAAAAAAAAGAATTAAGGTATATTAGGTACATGTGCAAATATGTTGTTGTGTACTGCAAATATGTACTAACAAAAAATTTAAAAATGTTTTAAACCCTTGAGCTATAGGTAACAATGAAAGAACAGAGCGTGGAAAGCACATTTCCGGATCTCCACATGCCCCTCTTCCCCCCAGTAATACTGCTCTGGCAAAGCAAGTCCCCCATGAAGCAAATTCAGGCAGTGAACCCCATTGGGGCAGTGTGAATGTGGAGGGCAGCGGACCAGCAGCACTAGGCAGCATGATGTCAGTGACAGCAATCCAAGCTGCCGAGAGGGCTGTTCTCCTCATATTTTGATAACAACAGTGATGACAAGTGTCTGTCACAGCAAAGAGGCCCACACGTTTTTACTAATATCAAGTAGGCAAGGAGACTGTTAGACATGCTCTCTGAGTCCTAAACTTAAACTATGCAGGATGAGATTTTGCCAGTTTCTACACAGGTCAGTACAGACTATATACAGAATACGGGGGAGGAGAAAAGTGATTCAGATGCAATATGTATCTGTTCCAATTCCCAAAGGTAAATGTAAGTATTGTTTGATAAAGTTGTCATTAAATAAAATAGGACTCAGTCTTTCTTTAAAAAACAAGAATAGTAGCAAGGATCAATTTTCTGAGAGCAAGGAGAGTACACCAAGGAATGGAAGCAATTCATCAGAACTGACAACTACGAGAAAGTGGTCATCTTCAAAGGAGGCAAAGCTGATGAAGAGACTTTCCCCACGCCAACAGAGCCTTCCTCACCAGCCTTTCCCCACGGGTACTCAAATGGCTCTGCTGGCAACATGGCCCCTGCCCTTCAGGGTCACTGCTGAGGGAACCTGGTCACCCCAGAGCCCTCCTCCCAACACTCACTCAGCAGGTGTCGGCTGGTGATGCCCCGCTCAGTGATGGTGGCTTCCATGGCACTGACGGAAGAGGGGAAGATGTAGGACTGCTGTAGGACCTGGGGAAGCTGTGGGCGGTCCAGAGAGCTGAAGGCGGTGGCATTGTACTGCTCGGTCCCCTCGTAGAGCTCCAAGGCTGTGAACTCATTGCGCCGAGCCTTGGTGTTCCAGTACTGGTACTGCAGGGAGACAGGGAGGTAGCTCAGGTTCAACCAGAACGGGGAGTTTGCACTGGAAGGCACCTTGCACGTTGACTACAGATTCAGGGAGGTACAGAACCATGTTGACGCCGATTTCCTTCCTCTTTCCTGGGTTTACTAACATTCCAGGTAGTTTTGTCTAGGCTGCCCAAAGTTTGCCATGTGACACAGGAATTCTCAATATTCTTAGAAGTCCTAACAGCTAACCTCTGCATGTCTACCAAGTGCCAGGCATTGCTCTAGGCTAGACTGGCATTACTATTATTATCTCTATTTCACCAATGATGCAGCTCAGAGAGCTCACATAACTGCTTCAAGTTTGGACAGTCAGGAATAGGAAGAGCTGAGATCAAACCTACACAATCTGATTTTGGGGCCTCACCCCTTAACCAGACCCTATGCTGCCCCCCAGGTTTGGGATCCGATGAAAACACAAAAGCAGCACCTGGGTTTCTGGAAAGGATTTAAACTGGGAGGCCTCCTCAGAACAGACTCCTTACCACCACCCAGTTCTCTGAGTGCACGATGTGGACAGGGCCCTTGGCTTTCTTCTGCACCGAGGAGTGGATGATGCGCCCCGTGACTCCATCAATGAGGAAGACACCGATAAAGGTGCGCTCGTGGTGACCGTCCGTGCTCTCTGTTACCACGGCCAGCAGGTTGGGGTTCAGGCTCTGGTGAGAGAAAAATTCCTTCATACTTGGCTCCACTGTGAGCCTGGGGCCTGAGGCCAACCTGGAGCTCACTGGCCTAGCAGAGGAACCAGGGCTTCTGGTCAGAAGCGCTTCCTGCGTAATTTCCCATCCCCGTACTAGGTTATGTCCCAGGGGCCTGGGGAGCGCAATAGGTGCCTTACTCCCTTCCCAAAACCATGTAAAGAGGCGGTTAATATCCACATCCTGCGATGAGGAAATCAGAGCAGTGAGGCAGCTGCTCAAGTCCCAAAGTTAGCACATGGCCACCCAGGACCTAAGGACACAGCTCCAGCCATGTCACTTCTCTCCGCCAGAACCAATCTTCCATGGTCAGCTGTGTCTTCCCCCTGCCTAACTCTGGAGGATGAGCACTGATCCCCATCTTACCAGACCTACGAGCACCATGTGACGCGGGCGCACACTTTTAGGGAACACTTTCTGCACCTGGCTTCCAGGGTAGCGGCCCCGGGTTTCCCTCTAGACTTACAGGCCTATCCTCCATCTCTGGAGGGTCCTCCACACCTCCCCCGTCTGTATCTCTTCATGACAGAACGTGCTAGGCAGCACTTGGACACTGAGCATTTTTCTTTTTATTTTATTACTTTGCAGTAGTGGAGATTGAATGACTGAATCCAGGGTCTTTATTCTAAGCTACATCCCAAGCCCTTTTTTTAATTTTTTTTTTTTTTTTTTTTTTTTTTTTTTTGAGACAAGGTCTCAGACTATGGGCTCAAACTTGTGATCCTCCTGCTTCAGTGTCTCAGAGTGCTGGGATTTCAGGCATGTGCCAGTTCCCGACTGGCCCCGGCATTTCTATCTATACCCACCTTCTGGTGACCTTAGCAAACTGCATGGTTCTACCAGTACCTAGGGGTGCGGGCAGCACCAAAATGATGTAGGCAAGCTACAGCCCTGCCATTTGGGTCCCTCCCTCAGATATGCCAGACTTCCAGTGCCTCAGCCTGCCTCAGGCTTTCCACCTATTCAGTGGCAAGTCCCTGTGTCTGTGCCACAAAATGACAGGTCTGCGTTATTCTTGACCCTTTCCTCGCCCCCAGTCCATGGCGGGAGGAGGGGCACCACTGGGTCTACCTTCAAAGTATCCAGAACCTGACCCCCACCAGCTCCACACCACCAATCTAGTTCCAGCCATATCACCTGGCCTGCACGACTTCAGTGGCCTCACTGGCCTTCCTGCTCTCTTCCTTGGGCACATGAAGTCAAGGCCAGACGAACCTCAAAGGCTAAACCTCAGCCATTTACATCACTTCTCTGCTCAGAACTTCCCAGTGACTGGGATCTTCCTCGCGCTCCGAGGCAAGGCCAGCACGACGGCCAGAGTGCTCCAGTCCCTGGCTTCTGCCCTCAGCAGCCCATTCCCTCCGCAGTCACTCACCCAGCTCCCACCACACGGCCCTCCTTGCTGTCTCTCTGAGGCCCAGGCAGCTCCGGCTTCTCCGTCCCAAAGGCTCTTCCCCCAGGTACCCGGAGCCCACTTCCGCACCGCAAGCCTTCACATCACGGGCACTTTCTCAGCGAAGCCCTCCTTAGCCACCAGTTGTAAACTGCATCCCCTCCCCAGTTCTTCAGTTCTGCTCTCTCTTTCCCTTGCTCAGGCTTTATTTTTTCCTACCAAACCGGACTCCTGCTTGGTGACTATGTAATCTGCATTTTTTTTTTTTTTTTACCGGGGATCGAACTTGGGTCCTTGTGCTTGCAAGGCAGGCCACTGAACTGCTGAGCTAAATCCCCGGCCCATTTTGTTTATTTTTTGAGATAGACTGGCCTTCAACTCACTACATAGCCCAGGTTGGTAATCTGCGTTTATTGTTTTCATTATTAGCCTCTCCCAACAACAGGGATAGCTTCAGGAGACAGAAGTTTTGCCTGTTTTGTTCACTGATGTATTCCAGTACCTAAAAAGATCATGTTTAGATCATGTCACATCCAATTAGGACTTCCTTCTTTACTTCTGTGGCCTTCCTTCCAGAAGTCCATAACCATAGTCTAACCATGGGAAAACATCAGACCAACCAAAATTGAGAAACATTCCACAAAACACCTCATCGTCTTCAAACTATCTTCAAACTGTCAAGGTCATGAAAAACAAGGGGAGACTAAAAACCTGTCTCAGACTACAGGAGACTAAAGAGCCCAGACAGCTAAATGCAATGTGTGATCACAGACTAAAGTAATGGCATCAGTGAAAAATCGGGTGAAACCTAAATAAGTCTGGAATTTAGTTAAGAGTCATGTGCTGATGTTGGTTTCCTAGTTTAGACAAATGACTGTGCAGGCAAACTAGGAAAAGGGATAGAGAATTCCATGCATTATATTCACAACTTTTCTGTTTTTTTTTTTTTTTTTTTTTTTTTTTGGTTTATATTGTTTTCATGACACCATCTCAGACTGGCTTTGAATTATGTAGCCAAGGATGGTTGGCCTTGAACTTAACAGCAATCCTGCCTCAGCTTCCTGAGTGCTGAGATTACAGGTATGTGTCACCACATCCAGCTACTACAGTTTTTCTCTACTTCTGCAATCAGAACAAAAAAGTTTAATTGAAAAGAATAACCTAGAGTATTTGCATAATGAATGTGTTTGTTTTTTTTTTTTGTACCGGGGATCGAACTCGGGTCTCCTTGCGCTTGGAGGCAGGCAGCAGAACCACTGAGCTAAATCCCCGGCCCTGTTTTTTTTAATCAGGATTTTTTTAAATGTGATCACGTGTGTGATTTGTATATGTGCCATGTTAGTATATCTTCTAGTACAATATGAACTTTTAAAAAATTTTAACACCCCTGTACCAGAAATTGAACTCAAGACCTTGCACTTGCCAGGCAGGTGCAGCACCACTGAGCTACATCCTTGGCCCAAAGTTTTTAAAACTTTAAAAAAACTTTAGGGCCGGGGATGTAGTGTAGCTCAGTGGTGCTGCTGCCTGCCTTGCAAACACAAGGTTCTGAGTTCGATCCCCAGTACAAAAAAAAAAAATTTCTATTGCTTTGTACTGTTTTTCGGTCCATGGTGCTAGAGATCTAACTCAGGGCCTCAAGCACTCTACCGCTGAACCTCATCCTCCAGCTGGAAACGTACTTTCGAATTTGTATTATTTAGGTCATTCTAAATAAGCTAAAATTAACTGCTACCACATGGAAGTTGCTCATCAATGAAGAATTCACGTACACAGGTGATGTTACCTACGTGGCAGGCGATACTCTACTCACTTCACATGTTCGCCTTCATCTTCAAATCAGTCTATGGAAGTGAGTGGCGTTGTCCCCATTATATTGGTGAAAATGGAGATGTAGGTGGCCCAAGTAAACCACTGGTAGTGAAGAGCGAGCTAGGCCAGCGCAGGGCCAAGTCTGAACCTGACAGCCCAACTCGGTGCCGCTCTGTGCTCCCTGTCCACTCCCACGGCCTCACTGCCCTACCCTGTACCCCACTCTCCACACAGTTTCTGCCGTCAGTAATTAATGCTCATTCCAACCACAACTGCATTCTCTCCTAGGCAGCCCAGTAGTCACCTGTTTCCCTCCCTTCACCACTAACTTGAGTGCTGGACCACAGACCTGGAATCTTTTTTTTTGTTGTTTTTCTTTGTAGTGCTGGGGATCAAGCTGAGGGAGGGCCAGGCCAGGAATTCAGCTCAGCGGTGCCGCCGCTGCCTGCCTTGTAAGGGCAAGGTCCCGAGTTCGATCCCCAGTACCAAAAAAAAAAACCCCAAAACACAAAAAACCTGAGGGAGGGCCTTGTGCACACTAAGCAAATGCTCTGTCAATACATCCCCAGGCCAAGATGGAGTTTCTGACAGAATGACTAACGTTCAACCCCAGAAGGGTATACTGGCACGACTTCTACCCACTCCTAAGTATAACGCCTATCAGGTAGTTACCATACACATACCAGGCACTGGGCTAAGCATGAGTATTTCCTGTGATCATTCCAACAACTATCCAACAGGAGGGCATTATGCCCAGGATGAGGGTGTAGCTCAGTGGCAGAGCACTTGCCTAACGTGAGGAAGCCCCTGGGTTCAGTCCCCACCACAACCAAGGAAAAAAAAAGTCCACTTTACAGACAATAAATTAAGGTTCCAGGGGATTAAATGGCTTGCCCACGATCACGTATCTACCAAACCCTAATTGCTCTGTGCGAGACAGCAGCGCGATACCTTGTAGAGCACACTGCGGTCCCCCATCACCCGGCCCTGGGAGTGGACGTGCTCGCTGCTGCGCTTCCCCTTCACCCTGACGATCCGCTGCACCTCCAGGGGGATGGTCAGCTCCCAGCTCAGTTCAGTGCTGAGGTCCTAGGGCGAGGCCAGAAGCACTGTGAACAGGAGGGCATACCTAGGCCAGAGACAGCTGTAGTGACGTGTCCAGCAGCTCAGCATCTGAGGCCTTGTGCCAGAAGGAATAAGACCAGGACTGTTCGGAAAACAACAGTACAGCTCTGGCTTATGAAGAAGCTTAGAACTCTCTGTTTGATTAAGAAAGATACTAAAACCAGCAAGGCAGGAAAATGTTCAACAGTATCCCTTTGTTTATCTGAGGAGGAAGGATCCAAGGAAAACTTACCATTTATAAATAAAATCTAGCGCCCCCGTACACCATGGCCAATGGTGACCCTGAAATGTTTCCTAAATCGTTCTGTCAGAACAGGAAATCAATATGCACTAACTGTTCACCACATTCTATGTGCACGCGACAGAAATGAACGGTACCCTTCAGGATAGCGGCCCGGAGCCTTCTGCGGTGCCAGTGGTGCTCTGCTTCCTGATCGGACTGCCACGGGCACGAGTGTGCAGCTCCGTGAAGGTTTACTGAACCTCACGATTGTGCACTTTACTCTAATAAAAACTGGGTCTCTCCCCACACCTACCTTTCGAAGCCGATATCCACTTAGCCGCCCCTGCTCTGCATCCACCAAATAGAAGAAGATGGATGGGGCAAGCTCATGCAGCTGTCGCAAGACATTCCGAGTGGCTGGGAAAGCTGTGACCTTAAAAACCCAGAAAACCCAAGAGCAGGGTTAAAGCAAAGTCCATGACTCGCTGAGCTTGGTTTCCCAGGACTCCCCGTCAGAGTCCTCTAAGAATAAACCAGCAAATCTCAACGGAAGTACAGTCTAACGGACTCCAAGAATTAGGGCTTCAATTGAGGTCTGTGAAGAGCCCGAGTGCTCACAAGGGCAGCCACGGCAGGCATCTGGGGTTGGGCCAGAGCACACACGTGCTGCTGCGGTCCACACTCCGCCTCTGCTCCGCCACCTGACTGACCACCCATCCCTGCCCACCTCTGCCTGAAGGTCTCCACCCTTCCGAAGACACAGTACCTTGTACTCATCGTCTATCAACAGCAAGACCTTGGCATAGTCTTGATCCATGACTGGGAGAAGCAAGGACTGCAAGACACGGCGCTTCAGCACCGGGGGGGCTACCTGACTCCACTTCCCAAAAATGGGATTGAAGACGTACAGAGAACTCATTCCTGTTTCCTAAAACGGGCAGGCAAACACAGAAAGAACACCAGTCTTAAGAGTAAACCACAAAACCTGAGACTTCAGCTCAAATGGGAGGAATTCCCTATTTTTGCCCTCTTTACGGAAAAATTAAGATGTTGGCTGCAGGTGAATAGTCAAACCAACTCTGGCTCCAAACCTAACCAAGAACTGGTCGTGCCAATGTGTAAGAATAGGCATGACGGTGTACATCTGTAATCCCAGCACTTTGGGAAGCTGAGGCAGGAGGAGCACAAGTTCAACTCAGTCTGAGCAACTTAGTAAGACCTTGCCTCACAATAAAAAATAAAAAGGGCTAGAGATGTAGCTCAGTGCAAAGGCCCTGGGTTCACTCCCCAAAACTGCAAATAAGTAAACAGGTCAAGTACAATTCAGTAACTCCAAAACGGCCCTTCCAGAAGAGTGTCTACCAAGGCCCCTCCGTAGTAATATTAGAATGGATCCACAAAAGCCATTCTAATTCTGAGAAGCAAGAATATAGTTTTGTGTGCTGCCCTCTCTTCCTAGAGAAAAATAAAAGAGCCACTCAACTACCAACAACAGCCTCTGACTGGAAAGAAAGCTGGCTGAAGTGAAACCTGCTTTTGATCAACTCCACGTTAGCACTGGATAGCTCCTCCACCCAGGCAAGAAACTGGGAGAAAGAGTCCTAACCCATGGATGTTCCTCAGGGACTCACATAATTCCACAGGTCTGGGAGAAATGTGAACTGCACAGGTCAGAGACGAAGGCCTTACCTTGTCCTTTATCAAGAGTGTGCACTGTGGGGGGTGGGGGAAGTGAGCAGTAGTTCTCTGGACCATCAGCTTAAAGGAGGAATCTGGCTTGACACTGGGTAGGTACTGTTTCCACAGAATGGTGCCAGAGCTGCTCTCAATGCCAAAAAGCTGCAACATAAAACAAAGGGTTGGCTCATGACTAGAAAGAAAAGCCAAAGAACTGATTCTATCTTCACAAACTAGAACCAGCACTACTACCCGCTACCAAGTTTTTTATTTCCCACCCCTGAACTTCAGAAGGTTGGGGACCTGGGGCTTATAGCCATACCTTGCCCGAGGCTGTTACCATCACCATCATCTTCTGCAGGTTGAATTCATCCCTGGCCAGGGTGTCAATGTTGATCTCGTTCTTAATTTGACTTCGGGGCTTCCGAGCATCGTAGAACATTTTCCAGAGGTGGGAAGTCCACGCTTGCAGTAGGATGAGCTGAGACGAGAGGCGTTTTAGGAACATCCCCAGCAGGCCGTCTGGTGTCAGGAAATGGTAATGCATTCTGCATCAGACTGGGTGTCCAGCAAGAAGGCGCACGCTTTTCCCAAGGAGAGACGTGTCCCTCTCCTGAAGAGCATTTTGGTAACTTATACTCCAGGCCCAAAGCCCCAGAGGTAGTCTGTCTGCTGTTGACAGTCCCAAACTGAGGTATGACCATGCACAAGCTTCCAAAACCCCTTACCTGGCACTTAGGACTTCGCTCGACTGGAATCTTTAGGACAGGGAGACTAAGAGGTCAAAGACTGGCCATACAGGATGCAGCCATGCTGTGAATGTCACCGCCACAGCCCCACATCCAGCATGGCAAGGGAAGGCTTCTGGGTGCCACAACAAAGCCAGGAGGGTATGAGTATGGGGTACAGGGACACGCGTACCACAAAGGAGTGCTTCTGCTTCTCACTGTTTCATGCCTACTTTGCCAGCTGTAATCTGTACCCGAAAGACCTACCTGCAACCCATTCACAGGGTCATCATTCCCTCCGTCCCTGACTCCATCAACTAGGCCAACACCCTCCAGATTTCCATCTCCAGAGACTTGGGGACAGACACAAGGTAATATGGCAAAAGGAGCAGGCTCTCTGGAGTCTGCAGCCCTGGGTTAAAATCCCAGCTCCACTCCTTGCTACTGTGTCACCCTGAGAAATACAATTAACCTCGATGCCTCTGTTTTCTTCATCTGTAAAAGGACACTTAACCCAGAGGGCTAATACAAAGATCAGATTACATGACGTACATAGAGGGTTGAGCAGGGTGCCTAGGGCAGGCTAAGTGCTCACTAAAAAGCAGTTCTTTTGCTCATCTATTTTCCATCAACTTCAGCTCAAGGAAGATAAGTGACCAGCACAGGGGACAAGTCAAAAGCAGAGCAATTCACACGTGTGTGGTATGTACCTCGAGTCAGAAAAACAACCAAATGCTAGTCATGTGGACAGCCAACGAGCAACAAGGCAGCAAGAAGCAGGCTTTACCTTGAATTGCTGGATCCAGGCAGCAGAAACAAATAGTAAAGTCAAATTAATCCTTGGCTTAAGAAAATGTGCAATGCTAGCAAGGTTCCCGGCCCAGGCAGGCCCTCAACTACCTGCTGGGTGGCTGGATGGAGAGGCCAGGGGGAGGAAGGATGGATTCAGAGTGGAGTGAATACAGTTCATCAGGGAATTGGGACTGTGACTGGCTTCAGAGTGCCCTGGCTATTTCTAGAATTAACAGATCAATACAGTCATGTCTCCCAAGGCACACATGGCTGTTGCTTTGGGGGCAATGAGTGAACAACGCCTAGCACAGTGCCTGACCACTTTTAGGCACTGAGATAATGACAGCTATTAGCACACCAAGTTAAGGAGTTTTTTGTTTTTCCTCAGTATCTTTCCTTAGAGGGATTCACAGTTCATTACAGATAATGACAGCTATTAGCACACCCACCAAGTTAAGGAGTTTTTTGTTTTTCCTCAGTATCTTTCCTTAGAGGGATTCACAGTTCATTCTTCTGCTAGAAAAAATGATGACATAAACCACAGGGACACAAATGCACTAGAAAATCATCGGCTTATTTGGAAGAGACTTGCAAACTGGTTGAGCCCGAGAAGCCAGGGACACCGTAGGGCGTCTCTTCTGTCTAACGAGCAATCCCAGCCCCACAGGGGCCCCTCCAGAAGCTTTGCAGTCCAGCCCCCGGGGGTTGATACCTGCTTTCTTGCCAAATTCTCCTTCCAGCTCTGCCTGTGCCCCAGTCAGGGGGAGGTCCACCATCTCCAGGCACACCACCTCTGCCAGGGACTCCTCACGGCTCCACAGCACCACCTTCCCTGTAGCAGGAATCAGTGGACAAGAGCTCAGCCTGCCTCTCCTACCTTCTGGAGAGACTCTGCTAGGTGGCTTAGGGATCAGTTCTCAACTGAAAACAGAACAGGCCAGGCATGGTGGCACATGCCTATAATCCCAGCACTTGAGAGGCTGAAGCAGAAGGATCATCCTGAGTTCGAGGCCAGCCTGGCCTACATAGTGAACTTGAGGCTGCCCTGCCTGCACTAGATAGTGAGACCGCCTTAAAAAAAAAAAGAACAAGAGGCTAGAATCAATAGGTGAGGTGAGGAAAGTTCAGATCCTATTCTAAAATGCTAAGAACTTCGGGAGGGAAGGAAGAAAGGCAAGAAGAACAGAGATATGGGGCCGGGGATTTAGCTCAGTGGTTTCACTACCTGCCTCTCAAGCATAAGGACCTGAGTTCAATCCCTGGTACCAAAAAAAAGAATACAGATATGTACATGTACCAGCTCCCCACAATACCATCATTACATACTGTAAACGTGTACCAATAAAAATAGAGAAGTAATTTTAGAGGAAGGGCTGGGGATTTAGCTCAGTGGTTCTGCCGCCTGTCTTGTCTGAGTTTGATCCCTGGTACTAAAAAAAAAAAAAAAAAAATTTGGGGAAAAATGCCAAGAACTTACTCAAAGGCAGGTAACATGTGGCTCAAAAGAAATGCACAGTGTACTCCACCTGAGGCTTCCCTAGAAGCCTGCCCAGCAACCCCCAGAACCAGGACATGGGGCAGGCTGAAATATAAAGGGGTTGTCGCATGAGATACACTCACCCAGCTGCTGCAGAAAAAGTAGCAGATGGTCCTGCGTCTGCACCAAGGCCCGGTAGCCCACTGAGTCATCCTTCTTCAAGAACACCTGGATGTAGAGCTATAAACCAAACAGTCAGTGAGAATCCAGATGCTTTTCAGAGCCCCAGCTCCCAAAATTCAAAGTGTTCAGTTATCAGAGGTCATGCCACTATTTAACAGCTAGACCTACACCGATTATCTGGATGACAATAAGATTAGGAATATTTTCTGAGCCAACACAACAAGAGTCTTCAACTCTCTCAGACCTGTCCATGAAGGAACTTGAGTACCTGATGGTATTATGATATCTGTCCAAGCCCCAGTCCAGCTCCACAACACAAGCAGGAGGCCAGGATTAGACTTTCCCTTTCAGAGATAAAGAAGCCAGAGCCCAGAGGCTAAGAAACACAACTCAATAACCCTAAAGAGACTCTGGGTAGGACTATGAGTGTGTGTATAGAGTTAGAACAGCCATGACCTTGAATCCCAGCAGCATGTCTTACTAGCTGTGACTCTGGACAGGGTGGCCAACGCCATTGGGTCACGGTAACATTTGCAGAACCAAGTCAGTAACAACCACTTCCCAAGACTGGGACAAGGTTCCATCAATTAGTGCACGAGCCCAAAGCTGAGCACAGTGCCTGGCGCACGGGGACACATGGGCACAGGCCATAGCTGGTTTTCCTATCATTTATGATCAGTTGATGGCTCAGGAAGAACTAGAGCCCATGTCCACAGGGCTTTTATCCAGGATCCACGCTGTGACCTGGCCCTAAAGATGGACTCTGAGGCAAATGCTCTGACTCACTCGCTCAGGTCGAGTATCGTTCTGCTCCAGGCTGAACGTAATCGTGGTGTCCAGCAGCCGTCGACCCGTCTCCACTAAATAGAGGTTAACTGTGTAGGTCTGATTGAAGCAAGCCACTGAGTCCTAGGGGAATAAACAGCATGGTCAGGTACAGCAGGGGTTCCCATGGCTGGTACTGGCCCACAGCCTTTAGGAACCAGGTACAGAAGGAGCCGAGTGGCAGACAAGCAAATCTTCATCTGGAAGTGGAGGTGGTCGCCATCACTCTCCCCGTAGCTCCCATCACTGTCTGAGCTCCGCCTCACATCAGATCAGTGGCAGCAGTAGATTCTTCTTTTGGGGGGGTACCGGGGATCGAACGCAGGTGGCGGAACCACTGAGCTAAATCCCAGGCCTATGAACAGATTCTCACAGGAGCAAGGACCCTACTGTGAATGGCACATGTGAGGGATCTAGGATGCACAGCTCTTATCAAGATCTAATCTAGGGCCAGGGATTTAGCTCAGTGGTTTCACCGCCTGACTCACAAGCACAAGGACCTGAGTTCGATCTCCGGTACCCCCCCCCAAAAAAAAGATCTAATATAGGGCGAGGGATGTAGCTCAGTGGCACTGCGCCTGCTTCACGAGTGCAAGGTTTGATCCCTAGTACTGAAAAAGTCTAATCTAATAAAAAATCTAAAAACTAAAAGTAAAAATTCTAATCCATTAGAAAGTAGGAAGAGGTGCCAAAAGATACCGAGTTTTAAGTGGACATACAAGGAAGGGTGACCGAATCCAAAGACACTCAAGTATTTTGACATCACAGTTTTTACAGGAAAAAAACCACTGAGTTATAGTAGAAGTGCAAGTTACTCAAAACTCCACCTAAGTTTCAGCAATTCTGGCAAACATATCTGAAAGTGGAAGCCTCAGAGCTTTCAAACACACCTAGAATCCATACCAGAAGTGATCATGAAAACCACCTCTGCCACCATAAGTTTCTCTGAATACATAGGGTTTGAATTAAAAATATAAAAAGCCAGCTAGCTTTTTAATATTATTTTTTTCCTGTTGTCATTTTTAAAGGTGTAAGTACTGAGTTCGTGCTCCCTTGCTTTTTTGCATGAGTCTTAGCAAATTTAGGTCTTAACTAGAATGGTTGCTATATATGATCCTTACTTTCCCTTGCTATTCACTTTTTAAAAACTGGGGCACTGTTTAAAACACGAATAACTTATTAGATGTTACCTGCAACACTACTGTGAAAAAAAATCTGTGATAAAATTTATTTCCAAGCAAAAAAAAAAAATCTAATCCATTAAAGTACACATTAAATGTAAGGCACTTGAATCATACCAAAATCATTCCCCCTGCCTACATCTATGGAAAAACCATCTTCCATGAAGTCGGTCCCTGGTGCCAAAAAAAGGCTGGGGACCCCTGAACTAGAGGGATCCCCAGACTCCCCCAAACAATGCCCAAAGACTCAGTGCAAGTACCCCAGAGAAGGGCCAGAAAAGGAAATAAGCATACAGGAAAAGAAAAAAGGAAAGAAAGCTAAATCCTGAGAGAAAAACGAGGAACCTGAGTAAACAAAGGCAATGACAATTACTACCCTTGTTTCAGAAGGAAACCAGTAAGCAGAGTTCAGAAGAGACTTCTAAAAGAGGGGTAAGATCCTGAGCAAGGACAGGAGGAAAGGGAGGCTCAGAAGCCAAAGCCAAAGCTGAAACCACAGCTGAATGAAGTGCGAAACTCCAGCCAGAGCCTCATGCTTCCGCCTCCGTGCAAATGCACAGAACACCACTCAGCTCTGCCGGCCAGGGTCCCCAGAGAGACAGGAAAACTGAGGCCCAGGGAAAAACGCGGGTACGAACCGATTCTAAGGATTGTACCTCCTCCTTTCACCAGGAAAATGGGTGAAAAGAAATGCTATTTAGTTCACAGTACTTAGGCATCACTCAGGACGGAGAACTTGAAGAGACCCACTAGCCTCAGCTGCTCTCCAGCTTTCTCCAGGGATCTCCTGTGACCCAGGCTGGCTGCCCAGACCACACCTACCTGTACAGTGGCCTTCTCCAAAAAGCTCCCCAGGGACCCATCTTCAGAACTGCTAGGCTTCTGTGAAGGGAGAAGAATGAGAGATGATTCAGCCAAAAGGTCATTCCCCAGTCACCAAAATGAGGTCTCCTTCCTGGGAAAAAAGGGACACGCACAAAGCTCTAGAGGGAGGGAAAGGACTCATCTCTCAGCAATCTCCTGGGCCCGTGTTCTACCTTACTGGGCAAATACGCCCAGACTTCGGACTCAGGGCTCCCAAAAGCAAAGTGCCATATGCCGCTGTTGCTCTCCTACTTACCACTTCATTCCGACAGGTCATGACTGCAGCCACTGTCTTCTCCCCGGTAGTGGCAAAGCTCACAAGGGCAGTCTGGGGGGAAGCAGAATGTCCCAGGTGAGGCCTATGTTAGCCAGCAGCCTTCCAGATGGTCACCTCTCCTGGGAAGGTCTCTTGGCCTTGGAGTTCAAAGTGCTCCCAACTTTGGAAACGACAGCCAGGACATCTCAGTACAGGAGGTCCCTGCTGCAGCTAACAGAAGTCTCCATTCTAACACAGGCACAGATCACCCTAAACTCCAAGCCGCACTGAGTATACACAGCAGGGCTCTGATATCCCCATTTTCCTGTGATCTCCAAGGGAGGCAAGAGTTTTCCTCTAAAGGTCTCTGTAACACTCAAGGAAAGAGGCATTGCATTCCTGCTGTATCGCAGTACCCGGCTCGAACCACTCATGGAACGGTGACATCAATCTATAAGTAAATGTCTCCAGATTAAAAACATTGCCTCCTAGCATCCACATCTTGGCCAGACCCTCCTGCAACCTAGCAACCATGCCGCCTACAGTTACCTGGGGGAAGTGTCTGAGCAGACTCAGAGTCCCCTGGTGGTAGTGCAGCAGGGCATAGTGGCTTGGGGACAACTGCAGAAAGAACTGCGGCCGAGACGGATCCACAGGGTTAGGCTGTGTGGGCAGCACTCGGGGCTGGAATCCACTTCCAAAGTCTAAATCAAGAGACTGAGAGAGGCAAGACAGATCAGGATTAGGGAAAGCAGTTGACCAGTCACTGATGCACCCACACTTCCATCCTCTGCCCCCTTTGCCAAGGGACATAACTAAACCAGGGCAAAAGCTCCAGAAGCTCCCATTCAGCTTCTCCAAAGCAAAGAGTGGTCCATTTCCCTGATACCACATTGGCCAGAGGCCTGAGCTTTTCTCTACGACGGCACAGCTAAGGAAAGAAGCCACAAAACTAGGAGAAAGACCCGCAGAGGAACTGTGCTGACCCTTCTGAGCCCTGCAGGCAATGCCTCAGGCCAGGAGAAGCAGCTGCAGCTTCTCACCTGCAGTGGGATCTGCCGCAGTTCCCATTCTGTCTCCAGGGCCAAAGTGTGAAGAGAGCGCGAGCCCGGGTCAGGGCACACCAAGACAGCCTCTGCCACCATGCCACAGGCTCCAGTGAGACGCTGCAGCCACGGAGTCGAAACCCTGACCTGCAGGAATGGCATCAGAACATGAGGTTCCAGAGGGACTTCTACGCCCCTGCTCAGTCCCCCAGTACCATTACGACCACAATTCCAGGAGAGTACTGAGCTCAAAGGTTTTCATAGTTGGTTCCAAAGGGATTCTTCCTGCCCCACCCCTCACCAACCTCCCAAGAGCCTCCCAAGATGGAAGAAAATCAGGATTCTCTTTCTGGCCACTAGAAAAATGTACTAGATAAGTGCAAGTACCTGATACTTCAAGTAAGAATTTTTTTACTATGTTTGTCTACTATGTGGTTTTCTATAACTTCTTTATAATAGTGTTATCTTAGAAGATACCTAAGGGCAGTGAGCAGATCTATATGATTTTTCAGACATCACAGAAGAGCACTTCATGCAAATACAAGTACCTAAAATTCATGGCAATGTGGACAAGACAGCAGCAAGGGACTAGAATCAGGAACCGTAAACCACTTTTGATCTGCCTGGCCAAGTGCTCTGGCCCCAGTGCACATAAGTACTCTAACAATCCCTCCCTTACCCACTCACAAGGCTCCCGAGCCAGATCCATCCCGTACCTGCTGAACAATCTCTCCATCCTCCACGTTAAACTTGACGGCGTTCACGTGGCTAAAGGGCACAACGCCGAGGGCCCACACTACCCCAGAGCCGTAGGAATACACCACTTGGTAGTGGATACTGTCACTAAGAGAGGGAGAAGAGAGCAAGGGACACAGTGGTAATCCATGGGTAAGAACATCCTCCAGGATCTTTCAAAATCAGGCTGCCAGGCCTTCGCAGGGTATCACAAACTTCCAATCCCCACACAGGTATGGCTTAATTCACACAGTTCTGGGTTTTGCTTTTGTTTTGTTTTTCTCAATACTAGGGGTTGAAGCCAGGGGTGCTGTACCACTGAGCTACATCCCCAGCCCTTTTTATTTTTTATTATGAGACAGTGTCTAAGTTGGACATGTGATCCTCTGGCCCCAACTTACCTGTAGCTGGGTTTATAGGAGGGGGAGTCACACTGTCCAGCCTTTTGGTTTCTGGTTTTTGTTGCTGTTGTTGTTGTTTTTGGGGTTTTTTGCACTGTTGGGGATCAAACCCAGGGCCTTACTCATATTAGGCATCACCAGTAGAGCACCATTAAGCCACAACTTTAGCTTTGCTTTTGTTTTTAATTTGAATATCTGTCAACATTTAGAACTGAGGTTACTCATAAAAATCAGATTTCTAGCTTTCCTTATGTTAGAGATGTGGCAACTGCAGGCCTACCCACTTGCCCATCAGCTGAGTAAGGCTGCCCCCTGGAGGTAGGTCAGGCACACTGCAATTCCCAGCCTGGCCCTACAGGAATTTAACTTTTGATCCCTAAACTTTGAAAATGGCCACAGATGGTCCAAGCAGATCTTTTCCTTTCCTTCCTCTTGTTCCTCCCCAGCTTCGGTGCATCATCAGGACCTCTGAAATCCTTCTCAAGCCTCACTCAGCCCCTATCGAGTCTTTTTGAGTCCCTCCCTTCCTTTCTTCTTTTCCTCTTTCCCTTCCTTCTTTTCTTCCTCCCTTACCTCTCCTTCCCTCCCTTTCTCTTTGCTCTACTTATTAATGTGATTGAAAGGCACAATCTAACTTGAACTGGATGTTGAAAAGCCCAGATGCCATGCCCATGAGCATGCAAGTAGCTCCCATCCTTGACCAACTCTAGTGCCCCAAATACGTATTTTTTTCCTCCTGCAAAGGACACTCCCAGTGTATCCACAGCCTTTGTACAGGGGTCCACATCCAGCAAGTACAACACACCACACACAGCACCAACATGAGGGAGACCTGGCCAAGCAAATGCTGCAGGATCTTCAAGGAGAAAGAGGGGCTCCCAGGAAACAGAACAGGGCAGCCATCGCATGGGAGGGGCCAGCCTTACCTTTCTGGGAGATGCTCCACCCACTTCAAGTGCCCACTGGAGAGGTGATGGAGAGAGAGAGTCGTCTTCTTCAGGACCGCGATGTACCTCACTGACTCCTGCAAGCCTACCAGCCCAAGTGCCTGGAAACTGAGCACAGGTACAGGGGTGAAGGTCTCAGGCTACAGTACAGTCTCAGTACTGCCACGGTGCCTGGATGTCAAACTTGGCCCACTTCAGAGTCTGCGTTTCAACCTTTCAGCCACACAGCCTCCCCGAACCCTCAAATCTCCGAAGGACTGTTCCTTCCTTCCACTAAGATTTAACAACCAGGTCAACTTTCCATCCTACACCCATCAGGCAGTGCTGTCATCATTGGGCCACAAACCCGCCTCCCGTGAATCTGATAAGAGCCATCTCATGTCCACATGCCCTACAGGATGGGAACCAAGTGTTTACTGAGTGAATTATCATCATAAGATGTATAAGCTAATACCAATAACCTTGTAACTTAAACAACCTTAACAAAGATAGAACAGTGACTCAAGTTGCTCAAAAATAAAAATATGGAGGGCCAGGGATCTAGCTCAACGGTTCCGCAACCTGCCTTGCAAGTGCAAGGATCTGAGTTCAATCCCCTGTACCAAAAATAAATAAATAAAAACATGGAAAGTTTTATATTATGTTCTTAGACCTAGAACATAGCCAGGCATGGTAGTGCACACTTATAATCCCAGGCTGAGGCAGGAAGATCACTGTGAGTTCAAGACCAGCCTGAACTACATAGCAAGACACTGTCTTAAAAAAAAAAGAACATGGTAAAGGTCACATAGTAGGATAAGAAAAAGCATTCAAGTACAAGAATAAATACTGCCCTCCCCAAACTAGAGAAAACAATAAAAAATGTACATGGAACCAGAAGAGATCCAGAAAAGCAAAAGCAATCCTGGGAAACAAGACAAAAGCAGGAGGCATCACATTCCCAGATTTCAAGTTGCATTACCAAGCTACAGTGATAAAAACAGTATAGTTGGCTGGGCATGGTGATGCATGCCTGTAATCCCAGCACTCCGGAGGCTGAGGCAGGAGGATCGCTGTGAGTTCGAGACCAGCCTGGGCTACATAGTGAGCTCCAGGTCAGTCGCAACTACATAGTGAGACCCTGTCTCAAAAAACAAAACAAAATAAAACAAAACAAACAAACAAAAGGTCCTATAGAGTCTCCTGCAACTCAGTATGAAAGGTGAGGTTCTTTCCTACTTTTTCCTCAATTGCAGGGTTATAACCTGTCTCAAAAAACCAAAAAAAAAAAAAGAAAGAAAGAAAGAAAAAAAAAACCCCAGCATAGTACTTGCACAAAAACTGACATATGGATCAATGGAACAGAGCATGCAGAAAAAATCCTGGGCACATCCAGCCATTTTATTTTTGACAAAGGCCAAAAACAAACACTGCAGGAAAGATGGCATAAGATTAAATTTTGTGGCAAGGACTTTAAGTTATGATCTAGGTGTATTTTCAACCAACCTTATACATGCGGGTTTTAAAAAATGGTGCTAGGTACCAGGGATTTAGCTTAGTGAGGCCACACCTGCTTCACAAGCCCAAGTTCCTGAGTTCAATCCCAGCACACACACAAAAAAAGAGAATCAACAAATGGGATCACATCGAATTAAAAAGCTTCTGCATAGCAAAGGAAGCAACCAACAGAGTGAAGAGGCAGCTACAGAATGGGAAGAATATTTTGCCAGGTTTTCCCTCAAACAGAAGACTAATACCTAGAATTAAGAACTCAAAAAAATTAGATACCCCTAAAATTGAAAGATCCAATCAAAAACAAGCAACTGAAATGAACATACACTCTCCAAAGAAATACAAATGGGGCCAGGGATTTAGCTCAGTGCTGCCTCCTGCCTCAAAAGCCCAGGTCCTGAGGTCGATCCCCTGCGGTGGCTGAGGGGAGTACAAAGGGTCGATTAGAGAAATGCGTAATTAAACAACAATAAGATTCTATCTTACTCCAGAAAGAACAGCCACCATCAAGAAATCAAGCAATTAGGGCCAGGGATCTAGCTCAGCCGTTGGGCCGAGTTCAATCCCCGGTACCAAAAAAAAAAGAAATCAAGCAATTAACTGCTGGCAAGGGTATAGGGAGGAGAAAAAGAAACCCTTTTACACTGTTAGTGGGAAGTAAACTAGTATAATCACTATGGTGATTCAGCACAGGAATGACACTGTCAATTCCAGCACGTGAGAGGCCGAGGCAGGAGGACTGCTGCCAGTGCAAGGCCAGCCCGAACCACATATCCAGAGAACAGGAAGGAAGGAAGGAGGAAAGGAAGACAGACAGACCATTGGCCCAGCTATTCCCCTTCTGTGTAGCTTCCCAAAAGAGTTAAAGACGTATTACAGCAACTCATGCACACCCATGTTCATAACGGTACAATTCGTAACAGCTTAATCTTGGTAGCAACTGTGTGTGTCCATCAACAGACGAGTAAAGAAAACGTGAGAGCCGGGCGTGGTGACGCATGCCTGTATCCCAGCACTCCGGAAGCTGAGGCAGGAGGATGGCTGTGAGCTGTGAGTTCGAGACCAGCCTGGGCTGCATAGTGAGTTCCAGGTCAGTCTCAACTACATAGTGAGACCCTGTCTCAAAAAACCAAAAAAAGAAAAAAAGAAAAGAAAAAAGAAAATGTGATTATTTACACAAAATAGAATACTTCTCTGCCACAAAGAAGGATAAATGAGTCATTTGTAGGAAAATGAACGCCCCTTGAGACCATAAGGTTAAGTGAAATAAATCAGATATAGAAACTTAAATATTGCATGATTTCTCTTGTATGAGAAACCCAGATATAAACAAAATGCAAAAAAAGGAGAAAAAATTAAGATAAAATAAATTAGGAAAAAAAAGAATAAATTCTGCACCTAGCTCAGAGTTCTGCATGTAAGCGGTGCTCAGTAAATGCTGAGGAAAGACACTTTCTCCATAACTGCAAGCACATCAAGATCAGGCATTGGATGCTCCCTGCCTCCTCACGAGGCCCAGTATTGCTGTTCATGCAAACACGCGCCCCAGCTAAGCCTTTCAGTAAGCCAAAGTGGAACACAGCTTCTTCCCTACCTGCCACTGTCCAAGGTTATTTCCCAGTTGAGGCCCCCAATGTTAGTCTCCCAGGAGCGCATGATGCGGCCTCCATTAGACACAGTGACTGCATCTGGAAGAGAAAAGACCGCGGTGAAGTCATTTCCCAAACTCACTCTAGAGTCCACCCAGAACAGCCTCACCTCCGACTTAGAGAAGCAAACAGACTTTAAAGGGTGCCTGTCATTCACTGTTAGGAGCAGCCATTCCTTTTTCCTATCAGACCTCATACAAAGAAGGGAATCAAAGAATGCAAGCGTGCCACTGGAGACCCAGGAGGCCTCTGCTTACCCTGTCCGTGGAGCAGCATGGCGTCCACAGCCCCTTCTGCCGAGCCTTTGTCAACATGGCGCCACACTGAAAGACACGAAAGCAGGCATGTCCACTGTCGTTTCCATGACCAAAAAAGACCGGGAGAGGGCTGAAGAGATCTCTGTTTGGACAGCAATACCCAATTTTATTTAGAGAAGAGGAGTACAGCTACCAGGCCATGATCCAGTCCCATTCACTGAGTAATAAGGAGAGGAAGGGGTGGAAGGGGCCACGATGTCCCCATTTGAGGCCTCTATACCGCCAGTCCCCATTACCACTCCACGGGGCATGTAAACAATTACAAGATTAACAAAACCCATCTGATACATAAGAAAAAGTGATTATAAATTCCATTCTATGATTTTAATACCTAACAACAATAAGCTAGTAGAGGTAATCTAAGAGGGAGCAAGGAATCTGAGCCTTTACTATAAAACAGAATAAAGTGCTTTGCAGCAATATCTTTTCTTTTCTTTTTCTTTTTCTTTTTTTTTTTTTAAAGGCAAAGTCTTGGCCAGGGATTTAGCTCAGTGGTTCTGCCACCTGCCTCAGAAGCACAAGGTCCTGAGTTCAATCCCCAGTACCACAAAAAAATAAAAATAAAAAAAAAGACAAAGTCTTGCTGTGTGGTTCAGGCTGTCTTGAACTACGTGGCTGACGCAGTGATTCTCCTGTCTCAGCTTCCTGAGTGTTGGGATTACAAGCATGCATTACCACCTGGCTCGGCAATATCTTACAGTACTTAACGATGCGCAGGACTAAGAGAATAAACTACAAAGACCAGTTATAGAAACATTAAATACTCCAAGATGACAGACTAAAAAAACAAAACAAAACAAAAAAACCATCAGAATCCACTAAGAAAGAAATGTTTTGGCCCACATGTCCCTAACTCGGGAACCAGTTCAGCAGGCATTACAAGCCACAGGCCACTCAGATTCACTATAATCAGCCTTCTCACCCAGGAGTCAACCAGTCTACCAAGCTCACTTACAGATTTCCCCAGTACGAGAATTTAACGCTGCAATCACATTCTTCTCTGTGGCCACAACCAACTTCTTGGATCCTGGGGAAAATTCCAAGGAGGCAAACTTGAGCTTCCCAATATACTGCTGTCTCCTGCGGAAGAGCACAGGGGAGCATCAGGGGGAAAAGTCATCACAGCATAAAATGACCTGCAAAATGACAAATCACTGGGTTATCACCATCACACCTACATTATGATGCCTAAGAAATGTTTACTAAGGAGATCTGACAGAAAAGACTTCCATGCAATGGAGTCCAAAGCAAAGGGAACCAAAGAAGAGAACTACCTCCAAACAGATGAGAAATACTGTCGTCCAATTAAATGTAAGCACGTTTTCTTGAGGTTTACACGCCTAAAAGAGCCCTTGAGGGCCAGGTGCTGTGGTATACGTTTGTAAGCCCAACACTGGGAAGGCTAAGGCAGGAGGACTGTTGTGACTTCAAAGCTAGCCTGGGCTATATAGTACATTCAAGGCCAGCCTGAACGACATAACGAGAACCTGTGAGAGAAAAAAAAAAGCCCCTGGCCTCAATCCCACTAGAACAAAGTTAGTTGGACTAGGAAGTCAGCGTACAAATGAAGACACACGGGCCTGCCTTCGATGAGCGTACACTACAACATTCCTTTCTGACTTCAGTAACCTCTAGGGGGAAGAAAAGTTCTTGCGTGTCTTCAGTTGCACTGTCATGGCTCCCTTGATGTTCTGAATGGACTCAAAACATTTTCCTTCCATAGTCATCCCCCCACCCCACCCCCGTACCAGGGACCGAACTCAGGATGTTGCACTTGTGAGGCAGGCATAGCACCACTGAGCTACCCTGGCCTCTTTCATGCTCATTTTGAATTTGCAGAAGAGCCAGAAGTCACATGGTGCTGAATCTGGTGAATCAGGGGACGAGGACACACAGTAATGTTTTTACAAATGCGCCTTTTCATTGGATGGCACTAGACAGCAGCATTCACCAAATTTCTGATCGCGCTTCATAAAGGCATTCATAAGAGTGAACTTCCAGAACTGCTTCGGAATGCAAGAATGATGGCATACGTGTGTTCAAAGGGGGGTGGTGTACTGAAGGGGATTAATGGCAGTGTGTCTTTTACCATAATGAATTTTTAAATTTAAACATTCACTGTAGATTTCGATCATATGTTGTACAATCACCACCATGGGTAAACTTTCAGTGTTGTATTTCCCTCTATATTTCAATTTGAAAACTTCGTTTAGCATTCTTCTAAATGGAAAATCTCCTGCTATAAATGCTAACACACATAACATTGGGAACATTTGCATACATCTTTAGAAATGTGACTCATAATTCATTTGTCACCCTCTCTGGCACACAAAAGGCACTCAACAAATACATCAAGCTATTTGCGACCAAGAAACTTCACAGAAGAGGAGATACCTGAGCTAGGACCTGATGGATAAAATGTAAATAGCAGTAATAATTTTCTGTGGTACTTTTGAACTCAAGTACCGTGTGCTTGCAAGGCAGGCACAGTGCCACTGAGCTAAATCCCCGGCCCAATAATACTAATTATTGACTGCACTCAATGAGCCAGGTTTTCTGCTAAATACTTTAAAGGGATTATCTCATTCATCCTCACAATTACTGTAGGAACTAGTGGTCAGTTAATAAACCCATTTGACAGACAAGCCAAGGCAAAGAGTGGCTAAGTCACTTCCCCAAGATTACACACCTCTTAAGTGGAAAAATGGGTAAAGCAGAAGCAAGAGCATTAAGGAAGATGAGAGTAAATGCATAGATCGTCTGACTATTGAGTTTGCGGCGGCCATTCTCTGAGCCCTGGACCGCCTTCAAATGAAAACAGCTCTCGATACAGGACTTACAACCAGCCCTTGTTCATATGACAAACTGATGCCAGCCAGTTCAAGGAAGATGGAAAGTTCACTGAGGGCTGGCGACCTCTCACAGCCGGGAGACCAGAAACCTGACAGTCGCAGAAAGGAGATCAGACGTGGGAGGAGGGAATCAGACCAGATCCCGAAGCACGGCTAGCTTCGACAGTCACACCAGTATCAGTTGAGAAGATCTCCCCAGCACGGGCTTAATGCTCCTCGGTCGCAGTCTTAAAATCTTAAAATCCTTAATTTGTGAACAGGGGTCCAACGTTTTCATTTTGCACGGGGTACAGCAGCAAGTTAGGCAGCCGACCCTGCTCCACGGTAACGTCCCTTCTTTTACCAGATAGGAAACGGCTCTGGAAAACAGGCACCTCCCCTACTTCCCGAACAAGCCCCCCCACGTACGCACCAATCAAACTTGCCCACTTGGTCTTCGTACACCGCGGCCGCAGGGACAAGCAACACAGCCCATAACCAGAGCCCAGAAAACAGAACGGCGGCCATGACTGCAGCCCCCGCACAGTCCGCCGCCGGCCCAGCATGCACCGGGCCGCAGGCCCCGCCTCCCGGAACCATAGAGTTGCGACCGCGCTAGAGGCCTTTGATGGTCCCTGGGGGGGCTCGGAAGCGGCGGAATCTCTTAGGACGTTTCCCTGCCCACGCGGGAGAAAGCGCCGGGAGTGGCCCGGCGGGGAGACACTGGTCGCTGCTCAGGCTGGGTCAGGCGAGCGCCAGGACAGCCCCCGAGGGCAGTCCCGGAGGGCCTAAGAAGCCGCACCGCCTCCTTCCGCCGCACGCGGTTCCAGCGCGATGCCCAAATCCAAGCGCGACAAGAAAGGTGGGCGAAGCGGGTGTTGCGACGCGGCGGGAGGCTCCTGGGGCTGACCGCCCGGCCTGCGCCGGGGGCTCCAGATAGAGACGGCCTCGGAGTGGAACGTCTGGGCCTCCGTAAAGAGCTCCGCGGTTTCTGCGAGTTGGGTGGGACGAATCGGGGCGGCGGGGCCACGGCCTGGTCCGGTCCGGAACCTGGTCCTGTCCGGGGAGCGGAGTTTTTGCACGGCCTCTCCTGCTTTTGGCAGCCCTGCGGGGCCGAGAGACGGTTTCCAACCACCCAAGTTGCGCCCGACCGTCGCGGTAGCGCTCCTTCCCCACCTCGGCCCCAACCCGTCTTCCTTGGCTCGCTTTGCGTCCCTGCCTCCTTTTCACTTCAGCACAGCCTTATTTCCGCGTCTGGGTCTAATACTTGCGGTCCCGCTTGGTATGCGTAGGGCTGGTTTCTCGATTCTAGGTTTGCAGAGCATCTCCTAGGCCACCTTTACAATGGTGCCATGTATCTCACCCTGCACCTCTAGCACGTTCCATAAATATTTAGGGGCCTGGCACTTTGTAGGCGACTAAAGGATAGAAAAGTTCAAACAAGAAGGCCTAGTACTATGCCCCCGCCTTGAGTAAACATAGTCAGATAGTGATTAAGTCTCGGAATAAAAGTCAGGTTAAAAAAAAAAGTGAAAATGGGCCGGGGATTTAGCTCAGTGGTTCCGCCGCCTGCCTCACAAGCACAAGGACCCAAGTTCGATCCCTGGTACCAAAAAAAAAAAGAGGGAGAGCAAGGCTTCCACTCCCTGTGAAATGGGTGGACATCCTCGGTCCTTGAACAGAGGAGGTGTGTAGTTTAACTTTATTTTTAACTGATACGTTTGAGAATAGCCTAAGGAAGATGGGCTCGGGAGGCAGGAATGGAAAGAGTAAGAGTTTGCAGATTCATTTGATTCTGTGGAAGGAGTTCTAGGCAGATCTGGCAAATGCCAAACTGGGGGCAAATTGGGCCTAGGTGCTGTTACGATAGAGTCGCTTGTCCCACCGCAGAGAGGCAATATGGCGTCCACAGGTCCAAGTTGCAGTACTGAAATGCAGACATACAACAGAAGAGATACGGTGCCCAGGTTCGGTTCCACAGCATGGACCAGCCATCAGTGGCTTCTGAGCAGCATGGCTAAGAGCAGAAAAAAGCCTGTGTAGGTCAGCAGGTTCCAGTTCCGGCCGCCACTGAGAGCACTTCAACACTCGGGCAAGCCCTCCCCCTGTGTAATAGATTGTGGGGTTAGTTTAAGGGACTGAGGAATCCTTAGTTTGTGTAAGTGACTGGGGATGTAGCCAGGGATCTCCAGACCCAGTCCACGGGAAAGTAAGCACACCAGAGACCTTGGGAACGGCCTGGTGTGCCAGCAGTGACAGCCACAGCTTCGCTGCCTTCCTTCAAACTGGCTTGGTCCAGCTGAGCCACGAAAGCTGGTAGGAAGTAAGTCTCCAGCATGCCTAGATTCATCTCTCACATCTCCTTCTCTTCTCTGCTTTAGTTTCCTTAACGAAAACCACCAAGAAAGGCTTAGAACTGAAACAGAACCTGATCGAAGAAGTAAGTGCTTACTGCTTTTATTGGGGGGGGGGATGTGTTTGGGTTATACAGGTAGGAATTGGACTTTGCTAGGGAAGCATACTGCTTACCCACCCTTTCCTCCAATGAGCAACAGCAACACCAAGACCAGTAACGAGGAGTGAGGATTTCCAACTGTAATGGAAATCTTACCATGTGCCCGGCTCTGCGCTGTTTCATGTGTCTTTTTCCACACCCTCCTCCTTGGATCTCTGTGACATAGATAGTGGCTACTAAATGATGTTACTGCCGTTTTGCAGTTGCGGGAACTGAAACTCGGCTACACGGTAGCTGAGAGCAGAGTCACCTGCTACACAAGGATTTTGTCCCTTAAGAATGAAAGCACCTGTCTTGATGGCTTTGGCGTCACCAGCAGAGCAGCACAGATGAGCCAGCCCTCTTAGAACAGATCATGAGGCACCATTGTTTTCATTTAGCAGGAGCTTGTCCATTGAGGGCGGATGTTTCTAGGTCAACAGTGAGTGGACCAAGCAGAAAGAAGTAATTGATTGTTCTGTTTGTCAGGGATAAATTAGACACCAAGACAGATGTGGGGTCTAGACCCATGGCTCAGCTTCCCCTGTAGTTAATGGCTTTAGTTTCAGTGATGGCAGTGAAGAGACAACCAGATTGAAGGCCTAGAGCAGATTCTTTCCCATCTGAGGCACAGTTGCCCAACCCACAGTGCCCCTTAAACTCCAGAGCCTCGTGAATTGTCCCATAGCTTCGGAAGTGTGTGGACACGTACAAGTACCTCTTCATTTTCTCTGTGGCCAACATGAGGAACAGCAAACTGAAGGACATCCGGAATGCCTGGAAACACAGCCGGTGAGTGGGCCGGGGACGGTCCTGCTGAGTGAGGAGGGGCCAGGCTGCTCTTGGCCGGAACACGAGAGCAGTGACCAACTCTCCGAGTCCCAGGGTCACACAGGTGGCACATTAGCAATTACAGAGTGCCACCTCTACTGCTGAGCACTCTTTAAACACTAAAGCTGGCCGCATGCTGAGCTCCAGGGCTAGGAAAGTGAAGGGACAAGATTTGGTACTTCCTCAGAGGATATTTGGGAATTGCTTCCTTTGTGAGTAGTTGCTCTTGACCCTGGACTCTGAGCATCATGCAGCTTTAGAAAGTCAGTGTGGCCTCCGCCACAGAGGGCAATTGATCTGAAGCTGTGGGGGCCATGTGGCAGATGGCTCTGGGGTCGGTCTCCTGCTGCACCAGTTCTGGGAGAGCCCCTGCCTGGTTCAGTCTGGGAGAGATTGTCACATGATGCATACAATGGCCTGGCAATGAAATGCTGCCCACGCCAGGTTCCAAGGCTGGAAAAGTAATGGAAGGGACCCTGAGCTGGGGACAGGGTGGGTGGGCTACGTGGAGAAGTGGGAACCTCTGGGCACACCTAGATCTAGGCCCACTGGGCTCCTGAGACGTGGAGCTGCATGCATTTGACGGAGGGAGGTTAGAGGTGAGTACGTCTTTCACATCCTCCTTTTTCTTGGTAGAATGTTCTTTGGCAAGAACAAGGTGATGATGGTGGCCTTGGGTCGAAGCCCATCTGATGAATACAAAGACAACCTGCACCAGGTGAGTCACTGAACCTCACAGCTATCTTTTTCCCTACTGTTCTCATGTGCCAGCCCAGCCACATGGCCCACCTGTGGGTTGGGAGGGCCAGTCCTGGCTTACAGCTCTGGGTTCTCCCTTAACCTGCAGACGCAGGGAATCATACCCTTGTGTGCCATCCCCTCCATAACCAAAAAATGTCCTTAGACATTACCAGATGTCGCCTGGTGGGCGAAAGCATCCCCAGGAGAAAACTGGTCTCACTTTTGATTTATAGGTCAGTAAGAAGTTGAGGGGTGAAGTTGGCCTCCTTTTTACCAACCGCACGAAAGAAGAAGTCAATGAGTAAGTCTGCTTGGGGAATGGAGGAAACAGAAGGTGAGAGGGTTCCAGGACTAATGAAGGGACTGTCCAGTGTGGCAGTGTGAAGTTGGAACTGGTCCTGGAAGCATCTTATGTTAGAGCAGCGGGCCATAACCAGAGATGTCTCTGTCCTCTGGCACACTGGTCCCCGCCTGGGGAAGCTTAGACTGGACACTTGCTGGGGGGCGCAGTTTCACTTGGCTCATGGCTTGGGAACATCCCCCTCACCACTTGCTTCCCTAAGGTGGTTTACAAAATACACGGAAATGGACTTTGCTCGAGCTGGTAACAAAGCAACTTTTACCGTGAGCCTGGATCCAGGGCCCCTGGAGCAGTTCCCCCACTCCATGGAACCACAGCTGAGACAGCTGGGGCTGCCCACAGCCCTCAAGAAAGGTACGAGCAGACTCCAGAGCTGAAAGGACCACAGTCCTCCAGGGCCACCCCTTCCTCATTGAGCACATTACTTCTGTTGGCCTCTGTTTTCTCATGTGACAGTGGGGTTGAGTGCCCCGCTCATAGTTTAGGTGAAAGTGGATCGCATCACAGCCAAAATGTAGCACTGAAGGGCCACTGAGAAGGTGACTGTCGCCCCGCTGTGAACTGAGCTTTGGGAAGGATGGCAGCCACTGTGAGCTTCCCAGCTCGGGGCAGTGGCAGCACATACCGTGCAGCGCCCTGTTGCAAAAGTAACTTGGGCACCTCCTACAGGTGTGGTGACCCTGCTGTCCGACTATGAGGTGTGCAAGGAGGGTGAGGTGCTGACCCCAGAGCAGGCCCGTATCCTGGTGAGTCTGGCCCTCCAGGGCTCTGGCGGGAGGGACCCCCGCTTTCTCTGTCCTGCACTCCTGGTAATGTTCCTTCTTCCTCTGCAACCCTCTGCCTCTTGCAGAAGCTTTTTGGATACGAGATGGCCGAATTCAAGGTGACCATCAAATATATGTGGGATGCACAGTCGAGCAGGTTCCAGCAGATGGGCGATGACGACTTGCCGGAGAGCGCACCTGAGTCCTCGGAAGACTCGGAGGAGGAGGAGGAAGACGACTGACTCAGACTCCGGACCTAAGACCTCCTGGCACGTTCTGGTCTCCCCAGGCCCACACAGGACTGCAGCATGGCTCTGAGGGAGCAGCTATTTATTTTACTGTGGAGAAGGATAAAGAGTGATGGGAACTGACTTTATTACCATAAAGAATAAAACTTAAAGCAGGGTGTCCCCCGTAGGTGGCAAGAGACTCTTAGAGAAAGGCCTTCAGGTTTGTGCTTCTGTTTGGATTCCCACTGTTCGTCTAGTTAGCCAGTGCAGTGGTGCAGCTTTGGGGACAGCTGAGAACGTCCCCCAAATCTGGGCTTTCTTCCCCTCTCCAGTCCTTGTTGCCCTTTACAGAACTCCGAACAGAGATTTCCTGAGGAAAATGGGCACTCTCAGAGCCCTCTCCTGTCTGTACACACATACATCCAACACATACACACAGGCTTCCTCTCCCAAACCATGGCTAAGACGGGTGGACATCAAGGGGCCGGGGCACGTCAGCTACACCAGAGTAAAACCACTGCTAGAAGTGAGGATGAATGTTTAAAGTGACACACAGCATCCTGGGACATTTTTAAGTCCAGCAGTGGACTTTTACCCAAATTGTTTTATTTGCATGTGTCTATGAAAAAATCTAGTCCCATGGTGTTGACATTGAGATACATATTTTTTTATGTCTACTCTTCCTGGCTCATAACTCCCTTCTTTAATCCCTGCCTACAGCTGACCACAAAGATTTTCTGGGAGCAGGCGGCAGAACTCAGTGGTGGAGCACCTGCCTAGCACGCCTGCGGCCCTAAGGTTCATCCCCTTGCCTGGAGGAAGGAAAGCTTCACAGAGGCGAGAACAAGCTGACTACAGGCCTTTCCAGGTTCCCCACTCAATACCGCAGGGTTCAGAGCACTTCTGGGGGTGTGAACACAGTTCCCGGGGGAGCCATACCTCACTCTCTACAGCCCTTCACCTGTATTCTTTCAATCCCCTTTACGATAAAGCGGTCAGGTGGTTGGTGTTTCCCTGAGTTCTGTGAGTTGCTTAAGCAAATTAACAACTGAGGAAGGGAATGTGGGAACCCTGATTTGTAGTGGGACAGTCACACAGGTAAAGCAGGTCTGGGGATTTAGCACAGTGGTGCTGCTGCCTGCCTCACAAGGACAAGGTTCTGAGTTCGATCCCCAGTATCCAAGGGAAAAAAAAAAAAAGCCATAAAGAAAGCTTGCAATTGGCATCTGGATGGGGGGTGGTCTTGGCTGAGGCAACTGGAGGAAATGAATCAGATTTGGGACACCAGCAGATGCTCGCTGCTGATGATGCTGAGGGCAGAGGGAAAGCTGGCGGTTTTTCTGATACGGTGCTCCTGGCTGACTTCACACAAGACAGGCGCTCCTCCCAGTAGCTGTGCAGGAGGGGAAGGTGGGACAGATCAGAGCTTGTACTAGGAAGGCTGGGTAGGAGGATCACTTCAGCCCAGGAGTTCAGGGACTGTCATGAAACAGGCTTTTCTAAGTTTAAAAAGCATTTTGTGATCGAGCCACCACACTTACAAATACTTGTATACAAATGTACACCGCATGGCATTCAAGATGGTCTCCCCAAAACAATGGAGCAGCCCCTTAATGGATAAAGGAGCTGGTCTCTCCAACTACGCTAAGTGAAAGAAACCACACAAATTCTACACGTCACAGTTCCATTTATATAAATTTTTTTAAAAAAGGGTAAACTTACTAGCACGCACAAGTCCCTGTGTTCAAACCTTAACTTAAAAAAACAGCCAACTGTGGTATTGCTGTTCAGTATTTCCTTTAAAAAGAGCACTTTCTTTTCAATATTTGACAATTCTACTGGAATCGAGGAATCAATGAGTTCAATGGCCACACTCTGCTCAGCAACAGGAGTTCAAACCTCATGAGATAGCACAGGCCAAGGTCTCCACCAGCTGTGTGATTACCGCAGACACCTATGGTTCCTTGTAGAGCTTGGTCCACTGCTGCGGGGACCACTTTCAGTGCTTCTTACAAGAGGCCCCTTTTAACATTTCCATGTTTGTCTGATACCTGGCCCCAAATCATTTCACGGAATTTCAAGGCGTCAGACAAATGTGCCATCCTCGGGTTTTCTACTGTTGGGTTTTGTCCTTCAGGAGTGGAGGCTATGAGCCTGTAGTCTGCTGTGTGTGAATTGTAAAGTATTTTTGGACGCTGTCACGATAGCAGCACACAAAGATCACTTGAGGGAGTGGGGCGTGGAGGTGCGTGCCTGTAGTTTCAGCTACTCGTGGGGCTGAGGCAGGAGGACTGCTTGGGCCCACATGTTGGAGACCAGCCTGGGCAACAGAGTGACAAACCTCTTCCAAAAAATAGCTTACTTAAGGGATATGGCTTGAATCTTTATTATAATTTTTGCTGGTTGGTTGATTTGTTTAGAGATGCGGGGATAGAGCCCAGTGCCTCATAATTGCTAAGCCAGCGCTCCGCCACTGAGCTGCTCACCTACAGTCTGGTGGCTTGGATTTTGTCCTCTCCGGTCGTCTTGTCTCAGCTGTCTCATGTGGTGTGTAGTGAGAGCTCTTCTCCCCTGGGGCTGTTATCAGCATGTGCTGCTTGGCCCCATTGCTGTAGTCAAATGTTTGAGTACCTGTCAGGGGATACTTTTGTCTAATCTATTAATGAAATCATCTAGAGACATTTTTTTTATGGTACTGGGGTGTTAATCCTTTGGCACTCTACCCCTGACCTACCTCCGCAGCCCCTGTCCCCCTTAGATTCTGAGACAGCGTCTTGCTGAATTGCTATGGTGGGACTCAAATTTGCAATCCTCCTGCCTCAGCCTCCCTCGGTGCTGGAATTACAGGTGTGCACCACAGTGCCTGGATATCTAGGGGAATTAAAAACCCAGTGAAAGGAAGACAATGTATATTGTCTACCTTGACAGATGAAACCATTTGCAGTTTCATCTTTTGCCCAAATACTGAAAAGAAGACCCTGGGAAAATCCAAAGTCACATAGCAAGTGCCAGAGGGGACAACGACTCAGCCCCTGCTGCTCAGTGCTGAGGTGGCAAGTGCAGGGCACCACCTTTTCCTTAAGCTTCCATAGTCCCCAGTGCCTCGCCAACTACTGCCAACTTTGTCACCTGCAGGCAGTGATGTTAAACTGCAGAATAGCATTGGACTAGTCCCTGCAAGAAGAGAGTTTGTGTTTTGTTTTTCCTCTGCTGTGTGTGGTTTTCCTCTAATTCCTGGATTTTTGGCAGGCTTTGGAGTGCAGGCAGTTGTCCCGAATGTGCTTTACTAAATGTATGGATGCAACTCCAAGGGGATTGGGCGAGCTTTTAACCAGCATGTGAAAGCATTTGACCTGACTGAAACACTTCTAAAGGTATGTGTCAATTATGCAGGTCAGTAAGGAACAGCCATTGCTTTCCACATAAGATACTCAAACGTACTCACAGTTATGCCGGTCCCAGGACGGGGACACTCTTCATCTACAAGCCATAGCAACGTAACTTTACTTGATGACCGTAGCGCATGCCTTAATCCCAGCTACTCAGGAAGCTGAGGCAGAAAGATCAGACATTCCAGGCCAGCATGGGCTACTGAGACCCTAACTCAAGAATACAAAAAGTGCTGGAGATGCAGCTCAGTGGTAGAACATTTACCCAGCGTGCACACAGCCCTGGATTTTCATCCCAGCCCTGGAAAAACAAACCAACCACGAATTTCTGGGGAGAATCGTCTTCCCTTCCTGTGACCTCATCATAAACCAGAATTATTTCCTTAGGTTCTGATTCTGTTTTGTTCCGTAAGCCAGGGTATATGTTGGCACAGAACAATTATTCCAATAGAATTAGCCAAAGACATAATCAAGGGAACTCCAATTTGGAAGGGCAAGATGCCTAGTAAATCAAGATTAAGCTGATCCAGGTGTGGAAGCAATTTACTGCTTAAAACTGGAATTAAAAAAATAGATTGAAGCCGGGCGTGCTAGTGCACACCTATAATCTCAGCATTCCGGAGATTGAGGCAGGAGGATCGCTGTGAGTTCGAGACCTGCCTGGGCTACATAGTGAGTTCCAGGTCAGTCTCACTACACAGTGAGACCCTGTCTCCTAAAAAGAATGGTCAGAGATCAGGAAGAGCAGCTCTGCATTCCTCAGCCTGCCGCTCGCTGCCTACTGGCTTCACTCTGCATTTGACTCGACTGTCTCATCAGATCTCTCCCAAATCTCCATCTGACTTCAGTGGACCTCGAAGATGGATCACCACTCTCTTAGGTGAAATCCTTGGGAGAGAACTTATTTTAGAAGACTGGGATGTACCTCAGTGGTACAGCGCCTGCCAGGCAAGCATGAGGTCATCCCTGAGTTTGATTCCTGGTGGTTGTGGTGGGGAACTTTGGGTCGGGGATTTAGCTCAGTGGCGCTGCGCCTGCCCGTCCAAGTGCAAGTTTCTGAGTCTGATCTCTGATACAAAGGGTGGGGGGTATTTGTCTCACTCAGTGGTTCTGCTGCCTGCCTCAAAAGCACAAGGGCCTGGTTCAATCCCCGGTACCAAAGGGAACCTCTTCTGTAATCCCATTTTCTATCTTCAAATTCTGCCACTTCAGCTCTGGTCAAATAATGCAGCGCCTCTTCATCTTTTTCCCCATGCTGTGCAGAAACTTGTAGGTTAACAAATGTTACCAAAAATTCGGGATTTGGCAATCAACTCTGACTTCTTTTGAAGAAATAAATGGTTGGCAGAGTTATATTTCTGTTCTGTTTCCAGGATTTCCTTGCCGGCTTGTTCATTAAGTCTATCTTATTCTGTACTTTATCAGTATGTTCAGTTGCTTTTGTATTTTTTGGTACCAACAATTGGACTCAGGACCTTGCACTTTCCAGGCAGGCTCAGTGCCACTGAGCTAAATCCCTGGCCCTGTTCAGTTGCTTCTTGTTTGTTATTTTTCTCCTGTGGGCAAGTCCAGCGAGGCTGACGCATCCACGGATTTGGGGGCTGGAGGCTGTCTCGGCTTCCGTTTTTGGAGGGGTGAGTGAGGACTGGCGCCTGGGACCACGACACGAGGGAAGTCCCAGCACCAGCTTGGAGGGTCATTTCCGGGCCACAGGAAGCAGCTCAGGAACGCCATCTGGTTTTAAAATTTTTATTTATTTATTTTCCCACTAGCAATACAATTACATTTATCACTGGGATCTTGTACCTTTACATAACTTCATTCTTTTTTCCCCACTCCCCTGCCCTCCCTTCACCCTTCCCTATTTACAGAGACTTTGTTTCCATTTTTTCCTTTTTTCATATTTTTTCTTTTCCCTTATTTCCTTTCCCCTCCCCTTCCCAGTTCCCCTTTAGCCATTTTCTTCCTATTTCACACAATTATACCACTTGAACCTTATTTACACTTTTAGTTTTTCACACCAGAAAAACTATTCGGGATTTACTCAAGTGTGTCCTATTTATTTCACTTAAGAGTATAGCCTCAATGTGTATCCACTTAGCTATAAATGCCTCTAGTTCCTCATTCTTAATGGCTGAGTAATACTCCATTTTATAGAAAAAAACGTATCTTCTTTATCCAGTCTCCAGTTGATGGGTATTTGTGTTGTTTCCAAGTTTTGGCTATAACAAACAGTGCCTCTATAAACACGGGTGCACAAATATCGCCGTGGTATGATTCTTTTCTCTTGGAAAGATAGCCAGCAGAGGGATGGCTGGGTCAAATGGGACTTCTAATCCTAGTTGTTTGAGGTATCTCCATGTTGATTTCCGCAGTGGTTGCACCAGTCTGCACTCCCACCAACAATGGAGAAGGGTTCCTTTCTCCCCACAACCCCACCAGCATTTGTTATTGGTTGATTTCTTGATAGCAGCCATTCTTTCTGGGGTGAGGTGGAATCTGTGTTGTTTTCCTCTGCATCTCTCGAATGACCACGGATGTTGAACATTTTTTCATGTATTTATTTGCTGCTTTTACTTATTTGACTGAGAAATGTCTGTTCATTTCAGATGCCCATTTTTTAATTGGCTCTTTATATTGGGGGGAGGTCTGATTTGTTTGGAGTTCTTTATATATTCTAGATAGTAGTCCTTTGTCTGAGCAGCTGGTAAAATTTCTTTCCCCACATTGTAGGTTGTCTCTTAGCTCTGCTGTCTCTTTCTCTTGTACTGCAAAAACCTTTTAACAGGATGACATCCCAGTTGTTGATTCTTTGTGCCAGCTCCCATGCTGCTGAGGATTTGTTCATAAAGTCTTTTCCTATGCCATTGTTGAGAGTTCTACCTAATTTATTTCCCAGCAAGTTTAGTGTTTGTGTTTTGATATTTAGATCTTTCATCCACTTGGGTTTTAGTTTAGCACAT